CTCAAACTTACAGACCCATTTCTATAATCTGTATCCTTGTCAAAGTTATCGAAAAAAATCTAATCTTCTTCATAAACACCAATTTGGTTCTCGTGTAAGAAGATCAACAGTTAACGGTGTCTATCAAGATGTCGCTGCAACCAAAAAATTAACATTCTGCGAAGCAATGGCTTGAAAAGTGTTATAATGACTCCGCTCTATCAAAAACAACAATTGAACGTTGGTTTGCTGACTTCAAACGTGGTCGTAGAGACACCGATGGTGCAAAACTCAGTGGACAAAACAATTGCAATGCATGAATTGAACTTCGAATTGCTTTCACATCCACCGTATTCACCAGATTTGGTTCCCAGTGACTACTGGCTGTTCGCAAAGCTCAAAAAATGCTAATTGGTAAGAAATGTCGCACACATGAAGAGGTTTTTTTCTGAAAGAGGCCTATTTGGAGGCAAAAGGTAAATAGTTGTACGAAAGTGGTATTGAAATGTTGGAGCGGCGCTGGAATGATTGTGTGGCTCTAGATGGAGATCACGTTGATGAATAAAGCCGATTCTGAACAAAAAAAAATGCCCGGGACTTTTCCTCCCAGGTAGGACTGTTTATTTATAAGATCTGCTACAAACGTTAAGTATCCCATGTTTTCTTGTTGAAAAAATTATCCCTGTTCGTGAGATGCAGATACTCTAGTTCCAAGCCAGTTACACACGACACACAAGGGTCAGTTCTCGGACCACTTTTGTTTATCATCTACATCAATGATCTGTTCTTTCATTTATTTCCAAATAATATAGTGATGTTTGCTGATGATGCAATACTCATAATCGCAGATAAAAATACGGAAAACTTGGATATCATAATTGAACAGGCAGAAAATCAAGCGGAGGTGTGGTATAATGCCAATAATTTAAAATTAAATAGAGAAAAATCTCAAAATCTCGTCATTTCAACAAATCATAACGTTGATGAGGTCACATTGCTTGGAATCGTTTTGGATGATAAACTGAACTGGTTCAGGCACATGGAACAACTTAGTAAGAAAGTATCGAGCTATATTTATCTAATGCGACAACTAAAAAAGGTTGTTAACATCAACATTCTGATCTCTGCTTACTACTCATAATAACAGTGCTATAAATCTCACGTTGAGAGGTAAGACCTCTCCAATCGTTTGCTGACACAAATTTTGACTTCGTTCCTAAGGGACGGCAGCTTTCAAGAGATTTTCCAACAGGAAATCAATTAGAATTGTCAGAATTCGTTGAACATTGTAATGTTGAAAGGAAAGTTAGAAAAACTTTCAAATAAGCAATCATACGCGCTCTTCTATTATGGATTTAAAAAATGTTTTGTTGTGAAGAAGCCAATACAGAATAAAGTATTTTAATAATAAATTTCAATCAATTCAACAATTCATAATCCTTTTATGAAAGGGAAGGAAATCTCTGTTTAAGTTCACTTGAATATTCAAGCAGTGATCATTATTGGAAAGTTCTTTGGAAATCTCCAGCTCTTCAAACAAGTTCAGTCTGAAGAAATTCCTATTATCAATTTCATGTAAAATTTTGGAATTTCTATTGGAGCTAAAGTTACGATTCAAAGTGTTCATTGATGCGAGTGAAGAGAGGTTTACATGTTCTGCCAATGTAAGATGCAGATCAGTCAAGCTTATAGACTCCACTTCTGTGTAATTTGTCAATTTTGTCTAGTAAACTCCAAAGAAATGCTGAAACCACATGTCGTTGGTGTCTAAATCATTCAACTCAGGTCAAAACAAGCTTGTAATCATCGACCTATAGTGCTCGACGTTGACAGTGGCCTGGTCAATGTCATTCTCAAATAAATATGGACTGTCAGCCCGAAATCCACATCAAACAGTGGATTTTTCAGGATACATTAGAGGCTCTTGGATCTCTTGTGGATTAGTGTAGTCCCAGATCCACCAATTTTATTTGTTCACGTACCCTTTCATCCAAAAATGGACCCCATCGCTGAAGATGATTTTTTTATGAAAATTAGGATCAGTTGCCAATTGCTCCAGAACTAATTCAGCGAACACACATCGTTGTCTATGGTCGTTTACCTTCAGTTCCGGGGTCAGTCAAATTTTGTACGGTTGCAGATCCATGTATGACGTGAAATTCGCCAAGTTGTGGTCTGTGAAAGGCCTAGTCCTTGTGAGCGACGTGAATTCGACCGCCTCGGATTCTTCTGCACACTCTCACAGACAGCGGCGATATTTTTGGCAGATCTTGCGTTTCGTCGACATACGGCTGTTGGTCGATCGTTTACTGAGCCAGTGGCCTAAAATTAATTGCGGATAATGCTCTCAGTAGGACGATTATGGTGACCTCAAAATGGGCGAAGCGCACGGTATGTTGCCCGAATAAAACACTCATTTTCATAAAACAATTATTGGCACGTGTTATTGGATACTATATCTGCCCATGGTAATTTGAAAAAACAGCCTAATAAACTAATTGAGTAGATGTAGCTTCAACAATACGACCATTATCAATTGTCAAATTTCGGAAGTCCCTGTTGAAAGACCTTATATTTTGTTCAATTATTTCCTTCTCAATATAATACAACTGTGTTCATTTGTTCACCCAGAAACTTGACCTAGAATCCAAATCGAAAGTAAAAAAGTTTTAAATGAAAATTAAAAGATGTCCCAACCTCAACTTCAATATTCTAAAACAAAAACACTCAGTATTCAGAATTCCATCTTTTAATATTACAAGTTCATAGACATCAAAATTGATACGATCACAGAATATAGAAATATAAAACAATCTCCAAATACGCAATCTATGCACAGATTGCAAACTGAGCATTTTACCTTAGTACAGTGACCGGCTCAAAGTTGCAATATCTGCGTATAAATCTTCATAAATATTGAGGAAGGTCAAGATCATCAACAGACAGTATTGAGAAATTCATTCAGTATCTATTGATCTTCAGAAAAGGTTTCAGCAATGCAGCACATCTCCTTTCCTTCGATCTTGCTGGGTGGCAGTATAATGTAAGTTTATTAAGTTTTTTATTGAGTCCTTTCATTATTTGAATGAATGATGAATGGGTGAAACAGCGAATAAAATCATCTCGTTAATAAGCCAAGCGAGCACTGAGTTGCGACACTATTAAATACTGGAGTATTGAAAATGCCTAGAGAAGATCTTGTGTAGTAAAACGCTTGTCGAAGGTTTTGTAAACTGTTTAAAAAAAATATTACAATAATGGGTCAGCTTCATTTCCAAATGGTAGAAATGAGTCAAATTATGATTCAACTATTGTACAGAGAATTTCGTAATGTGAATTTCATATCCATCAAAACATATTATTGAACAATCAATTCTGAGTCATTTCGTGCATTTTCTTCACATGCCACTTCAAGAATCCCATATTGAAAATTCGATAGCTAACCATGGAATTAGTCAATCCACTAGTAGTTGACAAAGAGATCCATTATTTTATTGATTTTCATTTCTGTGAAAAGAGCGGAAATTATGAAACCTGGGTTGGGCTGAATCTAACCTACATATCAGGCGATTTTCAGAATCATATTATCATTAATAAATGTGAAATTAGTCCAACGGTAAATGGCAGTTTTCAATTTCCCAGGGACGGAGCGATTATTGGTTGATCCAGAATCTACAAGAGAAACTGGAACTGTGTCAAGATTAACTTATGAAAGCAAGGGAAAGAATGGCGTTCAAAAACATCGTTTGTGAGTGATTCTAACGTAGAACTGTTCCTTCATACCCCAGGAAATGGGCCAGCCTCCATTCTCAACATTTAAATAGCAGCAACTCTATACATGGATGTGTAGGTCATGAAGATTCCCTCATCTTTTTTTGTATCATGATGGAGTAGTAGAAAGCCAAAAATTTTTTTTCCCATAAATTAATCACTACCAAAATTATAATCCCTTCAATTTAAATAGCATTTGCTGTATTTTTGTAGATATTTGACCCTTACTTTGACCCAGGAAAATTGAGAGCTCGTGCTTCAGAAACGCTTTGTATATCTGATAATCTCGTCATCATTTTGTAGTTTGTTGCTCTGGTATTACCACGGTATTTTTCACTTTCTGTACCTCTTCTGAGAATTTGGGGCTGGCGGGTCGTGATCGAATGGAACCTGCAGTAGCAAAGGTTCCGTCTGCTGCTGCGACAAATATCTTGAGAGGTATATGCGTTGATTTTCAAAAGTATGATTCCCCAATAGAGACCAATAACAAATAAATATTCTGTACGGGTGCTGCAAGCAGCTTCATCGGACCAGAACCTGTCATTGGCCTCGCTTTGGTTTTTGCCGAACAAACAGTGAACACCTGGATGGCAAGGAGATTTGAGGACTTCTGGCGAAATCTTCTAGGATTGGCTCAGCCCAAGGCGTTTATTCACCCTTTGAAGCTTGAAACCAAACAGTTATTGGACTACAATAGGGAGGAACTACCATGTCTAACAGGCCTTCGCACAGGTCACTGTCATTTGATTCATCATATGCAAAGACTCGGATTGTCGGAAGACAGTGTGTTGCTTCTGTTTGGAAAATGTTGAAACAGCAGAGCATATACTCTGTTCCTGCCCCGCTACGGACCAAATCAGGTTTTCAGACTTTGGTAGAACCACATCTTATCTGAAGGATCACTCACTATATAAAATAATCGACAACCCTTGCGGGTTGCGGTGGAGTATCGAATAGACCCACTCACTATAGACTTGACCTGACCTAAATTTATTCTACTTTGCGAGCAAAACAGAAAGCTCAAAATAATCGAAAACCAGACACCAAACACACATTTTTAGGATTCAACACCAGCTCTTCATATTTATATAATTTCCTTATTTCTAGCTTCGAGACAAATGAGTATTTTGAAGAGTTAAAAAATTTTACTGAGCTTATTCCAAAAGTATTTTTCTATCAATTTACGATGTATCTTCATAATATAATGTTTGAGGGAGTTATAACCAAAAGCTATGTATAACTCAATTGCTACTCCAATGGCAAACACCATAAGTGCGGTGACATAAAATTGACACAGCGGAGAATGGAATTTGGATATCCTGGACACCCCATATTTTGATTTTTCTTGACGTTTTGTTGATTCACTAGCCACGTTTCCAGAATTCTCCAGTTTCTCGAATACTTTCAGGTCTTTATGAAGCTCTTCCATGCTATCATTGCCAATATGACCCACCGTCGACTGTGTTCCGGAAGTTGTGAAGTAGATGAGGTGATCAACAGCACTCTGATATATATAATTACATTCCGGTTTTGTGAGAGAAAAAAATGTTTCAGTTCCACCGGAGCATAAATGAACCATTAATTTATTGTCTTCTTGCTGAATTTTATTTATATTCATCCAGTCTATGTGCTGGTTCTTCTTTCCCTCTACGTATGTGACCATACCTTTGTAATTGATCCACAAATTGAACTTTTGGTGGTTTAAGTTCTCTACCAAATGTGGGTCAACCCCGTAGGTTTCCAGTTGGCAAGCCATCCTCAGGAAAAGATCCATTATTTGAGTGGGGTTCAAGCTCCTCAAGTGATGCTTGTGGAGGTCAATCGCTTTCATTTCTCCAGCGAACGACTGGTTCATGATGATCTTCTCCTTGATGTAGTTGCCAGAGTGTCTCTCAGGGTCGAAATCTCCATACGTATATTGAAGAATCAGGGCCACAAATAGTGATGAATCGCTAGGACCGCAGCATAGCCTACCACTCATGAGGTCCAGCTTCAGTTGCATGAATATCTGGAATTTCGTTTCCAGATCCAGCAGTTTGTATGGCTCAGGTGGATATACCTTCATTCTGAAGTGAAAGTGGATGGGGCAAACGTTTTTGACTTGGGGTCTTATCAATTTGTTCAAATCCAGCCAATGTCTTTGCTCGAAAGTATCCACGAATCGAAGACCCCAGATGTCCTTCTCCTGTATATTCAATTGATCGCAAATGTAGTCGATCAGATCTCTTCCAACATTGTCAGATTTGTACTCGCACTCCAGGATTTCGCCGTTCGCGAGTAAATGAACTGAGCAAGGATAGATAACTTCCACTCCAGTTTTGGAAACGACGGTCTTCATCATGGAATTTTGAAAGATAATTTATTCTCGAAATGACTCAAATTCACTTTACATTATAGAACGATTTGATGAATGTCATGACGTTTTGCCGAGTGTCATTCTTGACAGAATTGAGTGACAAAATTACTTCCGCTAGAGAAATTTTGAAGTGACAATTAGTCAAGTATAAGGCCAGGTTATATCCACAACTGTATTAACTTCATATAAGAAAATAAATATTTCGAAATAGTATCCCGAGATATTCATATCTTCCAACTAGCTATACAGTAGGGTCTGGTAAACGTCGGTCGGAAAACAACTAGTTCTCCGGCTAATACCACGCTGGATATTGAATGATATCCGACACACATTTATGCAAGATACATCCAGCAGCAGGACCATACTGAAATTATTCAAGTAGATCACCCACAGACCGGGAGACGGCCTGGGAGACAGACCTGGGAGACGGCTTGACTGCATGTATGGACAATTCGTCAAAGGGTTCATTCTGAATTAAATGCTTTCCACCTTTTTATAGAACTTTCTCAGTTGCCAACAAAAAAACAATGAGGAGAAATAAACAAAGATATTCACATATATTGAAATTGAAATGGTATTAGGTGATTCCAAGCGACTAAGAATTGAGGTGAAGATGGGAAAAAGAGACGTCTTTTAACCTCACGAATCGACTGAAATATCTATCTACAAATATCAATAATGAACGGGGCTCTTAAAGGCGACCCGTTTGAAATAAGAATAGTTCTGTCTTTATCATTGCAAAACAACTGGAACCGGAGTCATTTCTTTTTGGAATATTTACAGGAAAATGCAGCACACATAAGAAAATAAAGGAAATTCAAGTGTTTTTTAAGAAAACGTTTCATGAGAGTTTTCAACCTTTTGAAATTTTTTGTTCATGAAATTGAATATCATGAAATAAAAGGTTCGTTTATTTTTGAGATAAAATTACATAGTTTGGTTCTTCTGCTGAACAATCTATGCAGAGTATTCTCAAAAAAAATTCTAGGGGCCATTCCTAACAAATTGACGGTGTTAATTTTAGGAAAATAAAGAAAATGTCAAAGCAACATTTTATATTGAAATTTATACAAACTCCATGTTGTTATCATATCGCTATCGAAAATGATACGCTATATGGAAGATAATGCTACGCAAATAGTAAAAAGTGAGGTGGAATGGTGGAGTGTATGACATTTTCAATGCTTTTTTTTCTACAAAAATTATCATCGTTGCAACCCTTTTTCTACGAAGTGGGGATCACTCCGGTATCGCTGATGATTGATGTGGATAAATATTGTGTTTTGTTGTTTTAAGGACAGTACACAAGCACTATAGGGAAATATCGAAGCGCGATTCACGTTCCATTTAGAAAAACATTCTCAGGAAGTTTATTCCACATAAACGCAGTTCTCCAAATGGAAGAGCTTCCATACAGTTAAGTTCGATGTGTACTGAGTTGAACCTCAAAACGATGAGCAGCAACAGTTCGTCGCGTATTTCTGATATATACTGCTCTTGTTGGAATCAAATGTGCCGTGTCGACGTTTGAAAATTTTCTGAGATGAGAAAACACTTCTCTCAGTTTAAATTGAAAGGTGTTGATCCTTAGGAGAGATTATTTTCTGAGAGAAAATCTGTTTCCCTTCTACTTCATACAAAAATTGTGCGTGCATAGAAGTTCCAGATACCAACTAGGATAAAGAGCCCTTCCAAAATAACTACTTTTATATAAATATTTTCGGATCTTTTGAACTGCTTTGCATACACCCCTCATATTTTTTTTTGATTGTTGAACTTTCGAATTTTCCTTTCACACCCCTTGCTTCAAAAACCGTAACACCTTTGAGCAAGGCACAAAAGGAAAGTACTATTTACCCAAATCGTGAATTGTTTCATTCTGAATGTGGAGCCCCTCAAACTTACAGACCCATTTCTATAATCTGTATCCTTGTCAAAGTTATCGAAAAAAATCTAATCTTCTTCATAAACACCAATTTGGTTCTCGTGCAAGTAGATCAACAGTTAACGGTGTCTATCAAGCTGTCGCTGCGACCAAAAAATTAACATTCTGCGAAGCAATGGCTTGAAAAGTGTTGTAATGACTCCGCTCTATCAAAAACAACAATTGAACGTTGGTTGGCTGACTTCAAACGTGGTCATAGAGACACCGATGGTGCAAAACTCAGTGGACAAAACAATTGCAATGCATGAATTGAACTTCGAATTGCTTTCACATCCACCGTATTCACCAGATTTGGCTCCCAGTGACTACTGGCTATTCGCAAAGCTCAAAAAAATGCTAATTGGTAAGAAATGTCGCACAAAAGAAGAGTTTTTTTCCTGAAAGTGGCCTATTTGGAGGCAAAAGGTGAATAGTTGTACAAAAGTGGTATTGAAATGTTGGAGCGGCGCTGGAATGATTGTCTGGCTCTCGTTGGAGATCACGTTGATGAATAAAGCCGATTCTGAACAAAAAAAATTCCCGGGACTTTTCCTCCCAGGTAGGACTGTTTATTAATAAGACCTGCTACAAACGTTATGTATCCCATGTTTTCTTGTTGAAAAAATTATCCCATTATGGTATAAGAGGACTACCGCTTCAATTTTTTGAATCGTATCTCACGAACACGGAGCAGACGGTATTTGTTAACAACATATACTCTAGTTCCAAGCCAGTTACACACGGTTTACCACAAGGGACAGTTCTTGGACCACTTTTGTTTATCATCTACGTCAATGATCTGTTCTTTCATTTATTTCCAAATAATATAGTGATGTTTGCTGATGATGCAACACTCATAAACGCGGATAAAAATACGGAAAACTTGGATATCATAATTGAACAGGCAGAAAATCAAGCGGAGGTGTGGTATAATGCCAATAATTTAAAATTAAATATAGAAAATTCCATTCCATTCCATTCCATTCCATTCCATTCCATTCCATTCCATTCTATTCTATTCTATTCTATTCTATTGTATCGTAGTTAATGAATTATCTATCCATCTATCTATCTATTTCTTAGACGAAGTGAAATGTTCCTCAGTTCTAAGGAACAACAAGTCCATGAGAACCGATCTCGAAACAGCCGAGACATTTTTCAAATTGAGTTTAGCTTTGGAACTATTCAACGCCGGCAATTGGCAATTTAGCAAACGATATTCCGCTATCGAAAGACATCAGACAATGGGGCCTGCACGGCAGTTCGCGTGCTAGCTTGTCTTGTGGGGCCCGGGCAGACCTCGGCGAGTGTCTCCCAAGGGTGCTATAACACTGCGACCGTTGAGTGATAATTATAGGTCACGTGACGGGTAATTGTCGTCATTACTCCACTTTAACGGCACTTCCAGAGTTTCGGCTGGGTCTGCACTTCCTCGACTGTTCACTTCATGAGACACATGATATAATTGATGGTTTAATTCTAATGAAAAAACGGCTAGATGTCGCTTGGAATAGTTTATGTATTTGTAGCAGTTCATAGCTACCGATGCTGTGCAAAGATCAATAAGTGGACATCAGAACAATTTCACAACTCGTTAAAACTCAAAATGACCCCTTCCCTTACAAAAACACAAACACCAGAAATGATAAGCGAGGCTTCCTAAGGCAGTCCGTTGCAAGCTTCGACTTCAACCGCCTACACTACACTCGTCTCATAACGGATTTTCGAAGGGACATCTAAACATTGACAATTCTACTGATTTTTCAATCAAAACAAAAAAGATTTTATATTGTGCTTTCGTAAGATCCATTCTTGAATATTGTTCGGATATATGGGACCCATACAATAATGTAAATATCGATTTGATTGTGTTCAAAAGAAATTCTTAAGGAATTGTGCTTTGACTTTGATATTCAACGAAATGAATGTGAGTAGAGTCAACTTTTAACTAAGTTAAATATAAAATCATTGAAAGTTAGGATAATTTCTATGAACTTGAGTTTCCTCTTCAAATTAATAAATAGTGAGAACTAACTGCTCGGAAATAACTGCTCAACTAAAAACTTTTCATATCAAACAAGGAGATACGAGAAATCCCGACATTTTTGATATACATTTTTCCATACCAATTATGCTTTGAACAGTCCGATTCCTCGTATTCTGGAGCTGGGAAATAAATATCATAATAATTTAGATATGTTTAATGAATCACTTCAGGTCTTCAAAAATCAATTGAAAAGGCTATAGCGTTTTCGAAGCTTCTCTTTACCTTACCATTTTCTTTGTAAGTACCAGATTTGTTACATCTCTTTCCTTTCGAGTACCAGAATTGTTTCACCTTTTAGTAATGTAGTCACTAGACATAAGGATTTATTGTTTATCAATAGTTGTTTTGTACTTTCCACTTGACAAGAAACTTCTGAAAAGGTCTCATAATCAACACAAGATTTGAATTTCTCACCAGTTGTAAGGTAGGGTACTGGCAACAGAAAAAAAATGACAGTTCAGACTGATTGAAAGTGAAGCAAGCACCTCACGAGAGAATGAAACGTTGTCACTGTTGAAAGTATTTAAAAATTTTGAATAAGAACATCGTTCGGTGTAGTGGACAAAAGTTGCAAATTTTTAAGAACTTTGTACAGCCTTTAGTAAATGAATTACACAGAGCAATGATTTTTTTTTCATCTGGTGCAGCCAGAGTCACAGTTGTTTCGAATACATATTGCAAAAATTGAGGAAACCCATTTCCGACTTTGTAAGAGAATCCTATCTACCTTAGTTTGGAGTGAAACTTGAGGACCAAGACAAAATGTGAATTCATTGTGCATGCTTTTGGGACCGATACTATTAATTATTTACATCAATAACTTACTAATCTCACAAACCTCTTGGGAAATAATGAGTTTTGCTGATAATATCGCCATTTTAATCCGGTGACAAACGGCATGACCTCAAACTTGAAATTGGACAAGATCTAAATACCACCTTCGACTGGTTCAACCATAAATAGATAGATAAATTTCATTCAGGTAATTACATATTTTGATAATTATGAATT